CCCCCCCCCCCCGCCCCAGCAGAGGGAGGAGGCCAAAAGAACTGCCAAGTGCAAAGATGGTGGAAGGCAAGAGAAGGTTTGGTAGATTTTTTAGAAACTGAAAATACCACAGTGCAAGGGGCAAATGGTAGACAAGCAGCAGATCATGAAGAACCTGCTGTGCTTAGCTGAAGAGTCTGGCCTTTATCCTGAGGATAAATGTTTCTCAACAGGGGAAGACAATCCCTCTCTACTCACCCTTCAAAGCCCAAACACTCCCTCCCTACCAAGCTCTCCAGGACCCTCCTGGCCTGAACACTTACACCCATGAACCTCGATGCTTTTTGAGACCATGTCTTCTCAAAAGAAGAGTCATCAGTGTGTGTGTCTGTCGCCTTCCCCCATGGTGAGCTTCTGGAGAGTGAGGACCCAGCCTCATCCTGCTCTGAATTCTCAGTGTGGCACCAACACAGAAGATACTCAAGAAACGTAAGAACTGTTGCTGAACAGAATTCCAACTGATCCTATGGGATTTGCTCCTTCTGAAGATGAGGAGACCGAAGCCAGAGTATCTAAGTGACTTTCCTAATGTCACACAGCCTGTGTTTTAACATCTCGGTCATCATCATCATCCCAGTTATGTCTGAATTCTACAATACTTGCTTCATATGCCTTTTCTCATCAAAGTCTCGCCGTGACCAAAAACGTGGATACTGTTATCATCCCATTTTACAAATGAGGGAACTGAGACCTAGGGGCATTAGGTTAACCGGTGAACAGCTGGGACTAGACCTCTAATCTTCTAACTCCAGGTCTCCTTTTTTTTTTTTTTTTTTTTTTTAAACTATAGTCCTTCTGCATCTTCCTATCCACCCACCCTTCTAAAAAGAGGTCATTCATGAGCGGTCTTTTCCCATGCTATTTCCATGAAGGCCCCTTTTCTTGGGAGAGTTTTATGTGACTAAAAGATGGGTCTGCCTTTCAATAAAACGTGGTCAATGTTGTGTTGGTTTCGGTGTACAGCACTTCAATAAAAAATAAAACTAAAAAACAAACAAAAAGTTGTCAAAACACAGCTGCTGAAAGCCAATATGGGTTAGAGATACCTGCATGATTACCTCAGGAGAAAGAGGCTAATGATTATTGCTGTTATGTTGCCTTGAGGTTCTCCTTTCTAGGAAATGGGCTGCTGTTCAGAGTCAAAATAACCTGGCATCACCGATGTTTGTTTATATTATGGCAAACACCCAAGCGATCACTCAAGATGGAGTCAGCATTTGAGAGGAAGGGTGGGGCATGGACTCATTTCTCCATTATCCAAGTTTTTTTCATATTGTTAATCCTTTTTTATACTCTATTACATTTCATTACAAAAGCAGCAGACTACACGTTAGCTTGTGAGCTCTTGGTGGGAACTGGATCTTGTTTACATCCCTGCCTGCCCAGTGGCTAGAACAGTAATTGGCATGTTGTAAGTGCACAATAAATATTGAATGAGTGAAGAAATGATATTGCAGAGTAATTGGCATGCTTCAAGTGCACAGTAATGTTGAATGAATGAAGAAATGATATTACAGGGAGTTCCCTGGCCGTCCAGTGATTAGTACTGGGCGCTTTCATTGCCATGGCCTGGGTTCAATCCTCGGTCCGGGAAACTAAGATCCCACTAACCACACAGCATGGCCAAAGAAAGAAAGAAAGGAAAAAAAAACCAACAAATGATATTACAGAGCAATACTTCAACTCACTCATGGCCAAGCAAAACTAAAACTAAGACCCTTGCTAACCCAGCTTCTAAGGTAGGCGGGGGTCTCCAAGCAGTCTGCCAGCTGAAGCAGCCAGAGCCCCAGGATTGTCCCAGCCAGGAAAGTTCCCCATGCCGGCTGTCACTAAGGGCTGCAGGTGGTGTGTGTGTGGGCAGATGCCAGGATCCGGCTTATGACACAGTCCCCCCATGCCAGGCCAACACCTAAGGAACTGCAAGAGAGAGGGGAGTGGGAGCCCCCAGAAAGTGGAAAGGGAGGAGGAGGAGGAAAATAGGAAGACAAGTAGGGATGGAAAAACCGATGAAAAGGTAGATCTGGCAGAGAAAGGAAAAAGTCAAAAATGAAGTCATAGTCTAGGAACTAGGACTTCTGTGAAGAGTTCTGGGAGGAGATCAAAAGGAAGATTGAGCCTTTTTGAAAGAGGAGTCAAAGGCCAAGCACTTCTGCGCCCGCCAGAAGTCCTCCTGGTCTAGAACTGTGACTAGGAAGAGGGCAGATGGGGGGGGGGGGGGGGGGGGCGTCTTCCGTGTGGCATTCGGTTCCATATTAACACCCAGTCCAAATACAGTCCGATGGAGGGGGTATCTAGAGAATACGGCGGGGGGGGGGGGGGGGGGGGGGGGCGGGGCTCTGGTAGGGACAGCCTCCCTGCTTGCTCCCTTTCAGCACCGCCCCAGCCTACGCTGGGCCCTCCCTGAGCACTGCTGACAGAGGAGTGCCACCGGGCTGGAGGGAAAAGATGTTAGAACTCTCAGCCGCCACCCATTCCCATCCACAGTAATAGCCACATATGCCTAAAAGCTGTCCTAAATTTCTCTGCTGAAGCACAGGTCTGTAGAAAATTCTAGATGTCTGTATCCACACCCTCCACTTTCTTGAAATCAGTCACTAGATTGCACCTCCTTCTCCCATCCCAGCGCCTAGACTTCTCTCTCATATGCTCCAGCTTCTGCTTTCTGAATTGTCCGTGTTGCTCTCTACAAAACCCTCTCCAGACTCTCTCTCGGCATCGTTCGTTGAGGAGCTTATGATGGGACCCATTTCTCCAGCAAAGTCCTGAGTGGCAAAGACTACCTTTATCTCGTGGCAGAACCAATCAGGAATGGAATCACTGAGCAGGACACAGAAGAGGTGAGCCCAGGCGATGCCTGGCTTGCTGGTATTTTTGCCCTCTGCACTCTTATGTCTCTGAGGCTTCTCTTTTTTTCCCCCTTCCATTCAGGTGTCACAACATCCCAAAGTCCTGGCATATTCCCGTTCTGAATGCCAAACAGAGGCCAAACTTTCACAATACAGGAAGGACGCAGTTCCAACCCAAGGACAAGGGTATTGAATTACAAAGCTCCTCTGGATAAAGTAGAACAAGAAACACCCCATATTCACCGGGTGTCTGAGAAGCAGAGAACAGGGCCTGGAGATAAGGAAAGCAGACTGAGAGGAACCCAATACCCCAGCCAAGTCACCCAGATACGCAGAATTTATAAACCTGTCTAGACGCAGGGGCTGGAACCTGCTGCTGACCCACTCTGGGGAATACAACTCACTGAAGATGATCCTGTGCTTACCTGTTAACTCGTGGATGAATGTGCAACTGGCAGGCTAATAATAAGTCAATTCACTGAACAAATAGGTACCAAGCACCTACTGTGTACAAGGCACTGGGGACACAGGGAGGAGTAAGACAGACCCTACTTTCTGGGAGCTCAACATCAGTTTGGGAAGAGGGTTGTGAACTCAGCAAAGTGAAATGCTAGCAAACACTTATACAGCACTGTGCTCAGAGGCTTAAAATACATCATCTCACTTAACCTTTCCAGCAACTCAGTGAAGAAGGTGCTATTATGTCCCCTATTTTGCAGATGACGAAATCACATCACAGGGAGGTGAAGTAACTTGCTCATGATACCAACGCTGGTAAGTGGTGGAGCTGAGCGTCACCCCGAGTCAAGATGGCTCCAGAGTCTGCGTCCTTGACAGCTCACCTCCTATACTGGGAAGGGAGCCAGACTTGAAGTGTGTCCAAAGTACTCTAGCGGGCAGAGGACAAGGGAATCCAAGGCGCTGAGCCGCAGAGAAATGGAGGGCTCCTCTGGGAAGGCGGCATGGAAGCTGGCACTGCAAAATGAGGAGGGGAAGGTCAGGGCATTCTAGACTGGGAGTCAAAGGAAACAGTGAGGTCAGAGGGTCCGGGAAATGTGTGTTAGCCACTCTAGCTTAAATCTCAGAACAAGAGGGAATGGCTGGAGACAAAGCAGGCTGGGGTTAGACTGCAAAGGGCCTTGAATAAAGTTGAGAATCGATCTGCAGGTGATGGGGAGCTAGTGAAGGTGTGCGAGCAGGGTGGTGACATGATGGGCAGCAGAGAGAAGAGTATGGATGGAGGCAGAGACCGCAGGGCGAGTGCTTTGGGGTCTGTGGGAAAAGTATTGATAAGGGATAAAGAGGCTCTGAACTAGAGGAGCCAGCGGTGGTAGAAAGGAAAGGAGGGGATGGATTCGAAAGGCAGAAAATCAACAAAAC